TCTTGTTGGGACTCTGCTTTTGAGATTCTAGGAAGTAAGGGCAACTGGGGTTTAAGTTGAGAGAACTGATGCTCAGGGGTTAATATCATTGAGTCAATTAACTTCCAAGTTACAGAAGCATAGCATTAGCTATCTTCTTGCGTACGTACAAAAAGAACATTGCTCTGAATTAACTATGCAAAAGACTTAAGGAGAAGAGAAAAGCAATATTTACAAGTTAACAGAGCACAAAAAAAGAGGTTACAAATAAACACAGTATGGGGGTACTGTGGTGGGAGTACTCAGTAAACTTAAGCTCCATGTGGCAGAAAGTACAAACCAATGTTATCCTACACAAATGAAAGTTTAATATTTTCTTTTTGGGTTGCACCTGGCAATGCTCAGGGGTTACTCCTTGCTCTGTACTTAGGTATTACTCCTGGTGGTGCACTGGGGACCGTATAGGATGCCTGGGATCAAACCTGGGTTGGCTGTGTGTAAGGCAAGTGCCCTTACTATTGCTCCAGCCCAAATACAAACTATAGTTTAGCTAAGTATTCTTGATGCAATGTTCATTTTATTAAGTTTTATTTTGTTTTTAAACTATATCCCACCACTTTATTCTGTTCAGTATCTCACTTGATAATTCTGCTGTTGAATCTCAAGGAAGTTCCTTGTGTATAATTACTTTCCTTCTTTAGTATATTATTTCTAAATTTGTCTTTTGTCACTTTGATTATGATGTGTCTTGGAATATTTTTAATGGGTCTCCTTTTTTTAATTTCAGTTTTAGGCTATCTCTTTTGCCATGCATAAATTCTTTAATTTGAGTTTCAGCTTTGGAACATTACATGACACTAAGAATCTATTAATTTCATCTAGGTTCTCCAGCTCAAGAGCATGAAGTTGTTTATAGTAACCCTTATTATATTTTGAATTTCTAAAGTGTCCATTGCAATTTTTCTCGTGTCATCTCTATTGATTTTATTTGAACATTTTCTCTTTGTTTTTTCTTGTGAGTCTAGATGGGCTGGAGCAATAGCACAGTGGTAGGGCGTTTGCCTTACAAGTGCCAACATGGTTGACCCGAGTTCGATTCCTCCACCCCTTTCGGAGAGCCCGGCAAGCTACCGAGAGTATCTCGCCCGCACGGCAGAGCCTGGCAAGCTACCCGTGATGTATTCAATATGCCAAACACAGTAACTAGAAGTCTCATGATGGAGATGTTACTGGGCCCGCTCGAGCAAATCGATGAACAACGGGAGAACCGTGATCGTGACCGTGAGTCTAGATAAAGGTTTATCTGTTTTGTTTATTCGTTTGAAGAACCAACTCCTGGTTTCTTTGATCCTTTCTTTTACTTTCTTGGTTTCTATGCTGTTGATTTATGCTCCTATTTTTCCTCCTTCTACTCCTTTTGGCTTCTTTTGCTATTCTGTTTTCAGATTTTTGAGATATGTGTTTAGCTTGTTGATTGGATTTTTCTTCTTTCTTAAAGTAGGCCTGTATTTCTATGAATTTCCCTGTAATGCAGCTTTTGCTGTAATTCATAGATATGATAGCTTGTATCTCCATTGTCATTAGTTTTGAGGAATCTTTTTATTTCTTTCGTGATTTCCTCTTTGATTCTTCTATTGTTGAGGATTATTTTGTTCAGCTTCTCAGTATTGGAATTTTACCCATACTTTTTTTCTGTGGCTAATTTCTATTTTCATGGCATTATGATCTGAGAAGTTACTTTGTAAAATTTCTATATTTGTAAATTTTTGTATGTTTGGGTTATGCCCTAGTATATAATTTATCCAGAGAATGTTCTATGTATACTACAGAAGAATGCATTCTTGTTTTGGGGAATGCAGAGCCTGTACATGCCCAACAATCCTGGTTCTTTCAGCTTATCATTTAGGGCTCTTGTCTCTTTACTGATATTGTTTTATATGTTTTTTTTTTGGGGGGGGGTCACACCCGGCAATGCTCAGGGGTTACTCCTGGCTCTGCACTCAGGAATTACTCCTGGCGGTGTTTGGGGGACCATATGGGATGCTGGGAATCGAACCCAGGTCGGCCGTGTGCAAGGCAAACACCCTACTAGCTGTACTGTCACTCCAGCCCCTCTTTACTGATATTCTGTCTTGTTGATCTGTTTAATGGCAAGAGTGTGTTGAAGTATCCCACTGCTCTTATGTTTCAGATGTCATCATATTTCTTTACCCTTGTGAGTAGAAGCTTTATGTACTTTGTTGCTTCTTCATTTGATTCATAAATACTGACGAAGTATTTCTTGATGTACTGTTTGCTTTGGAGTGATAGCACAGTAGGTAGAGCGTTTGCCTTGCACGCGGCTGACTCTGATTCTTTTAAACCTTCGTCCCTCTTGGTGAGCCTAGCAAGCTACTGAGAGTAGCCCACCTGCACCTCAGAGCCTGGCAAGCTCCCTGTGGTGTACTCAATATGCCAAAAACAGTTAACAAGTCTCATAATGGAGACGTTACTGGTACCTGCTCGAGCAAATTTTGAATAACAGGAGAACAGTGCTAGAGTGCTACTGTTTGCTTAATCAATAAGTAGCTTCCAGTACTGTAATCACTTGCATTATATTAAATGCTGTTTGATTTGATTTAAGTATTGATTTCTCATCTCCCCCACCCCCTCCATTAGCATGTATGATTGTTTTTCATCCTTTAGCTCCGAATCTGTATTTATCCTGGGAGTTTAGCTATGTTTCTTGAAACTTTCTTTCCTAATCCATCTAATTATCCCATGCCTTTGTATAGGGACTTTAATCCATTGACATTGAGAGAGATCAATGATTTAAATGGCTATGTTTCTATTTTTGTGGATGTGGATGTGGAAGCAAGTTTTTGAGATTCTGTTTATTCTTTATAGCGGCTTTATAGTAGTTCTTGCTAGATTGATTTAGCTTTTGCAAATGCAGCCAGCGCCGATTTGTCTAAAAAGGTTTTATTCTTCCCTCAAATTTAAATTATAGCTTTGCAGGGTAGTGGACTCTAGGATGGAGGGTTCTTTTTTGAATCAGTACTTTGAATATGTCATTCCACTCAGTTTCTTGACTTGTAAGGTATCATATGGAAGGTCTGTTGTGATTCTCTTATATTTGAGTGATTTTCTATCTCTCACTGCTCTAAGAAGTTTGTCTTTGTCTTGATTTTAGTATTTTAATTACAGTGTTTTGTAATGTTGGCTTGTTTGTCTATTTGGTCGTCTTTGGGCTTCTTGAATTTGTGCAGGAGCCACTCCCAATATATAAGAAAGGTCTTAGTTATTATTTTTTCGACTAGCCATTTTCCCCTTTATCTTTTTCTCTCTTTCTGGTATTCCTTTAATCCTCCTGCTATTGTATACCAGAAATCTTACATTTTCTTTCATTCATTTCCTATTATTTTATTTTCCTTTATTGGTTATAGCTAGTATTTAGTTTTCAGTATCAGTGATAACAGTTCTCTTCATGTTGAATTATATTGATGTGGCTTGCTGTTATATATTTAAACTCTTTCAATTCTAATTGTGTGAACTCTTTGATACCCTGGATCAATTTTCTTCAATTTAGTTGAAGTTTTCTTCCAGTGATTGCTTTAGTTTGATGGCCATGGCATGGAGCATAGATTTTAGTTCCTCATCACTGAAGCTTGAGGGTTTATTTGAACTTGATGATTTTCTGGGACTAGTGTCCCTGTCTGCTAGAGCAATTGAATTCATTTGTTTCCCCATTATTCTTAAAGGTTTGAGGGTGCTCAAATATGAGCTTCAGATTCCTTATCTGAGACATGATCTGTTTTATTACTTTTCATTAAGCTGTTACTTCTGTTAGTCTAATAATTTCTGTGACCTTAGACTGCTCCTTCAATGATCATGCAAGTTAGTGTATAATATTCCCATTTGTATAGAGGGTTATTATGGAGGTATTTCAGGTGAGATATCAAAACCAACAACCTGTAGAATTGGTGGGGTTGAAGGGGTGGAAATGTCATAGAAGTTTTAGTATCTGTGTGGTTTGTGGTTCGAGAGGGGGGAGGTGGTAGCTTCCTTAGTCAGGGGCAGCCAGAACGAGGTCACAGTGCATTTGTAATGGGCAGGAAGAGTGTTGGAACCCTTGATACACCTAAATGATGGAGTCCAGCATTAGCGTTATGGGTCTGGGGAGTGTGTCCTGGGTTCAAGAGTTGGGTGGTGGCTTCCTTGGTCCAGTGGTGCAGGGGTAACTTGGCAGGAAGAGGGCTATGTTAAAATTTATAAGAAGATAGTTTTTGGTTCCTTGATGTTCTGTCTCCACGCATCATGCTGATTCTTCATTGGTTTCCATGTATACTGTCTTTGGTCCATGTATATCTCTAGCTGGTCCTGTCCCATAAAGTTCATTGGTTGTCCTCCTGGTCTGTTGCTCATGCTTTGTGGTTATCTGCTTCCTGCCAGTGTTTGCAGCTCTCTGTCCCTTTGACTTTTCTTTATTCTCTGGCCACGTCGTAGTGGATGGTAACTGCTTTTGCCTCTGTCTGTCCGGGCACTGCCATTTTTCTTTGTGTGAGCATGGGATCTGAGAGAGCTTGCTTTTCACCCAAGTAAAGGGTGGCTCATCTGACCCGTGTGCCCCTCTTTAGCTGCTCTTAGTCTCTTAAAGAGACTTATCTGTGATCTTTCTGACTGGCTGTTATTCCCGTAGGTGAAATTTTAAGTAATCAATTGTGTTGTCTAGATTACCTGGCATCTCTCTCATCCCCCTTCCAATTTCATGGGTATATTATGTCACATCATCTACAACAAAAATACTTCTTTTCTAGTCTCAATATTTTTTATTTTATTTATTTTGTTATACTTGTTAGATCTTCAACAGGGATGATGAGCATTGGTGAGGGTGGACAACCTTGTTTTGTTCCTGATCTTTGGGAGAAAACCATTGAGTTATATTGTTTTTTTTTTAAATTCAAAAAAGTGCTATAAAACTTTGCTTTGAAGACTAATTTTCTTTTAATTTAAGAGCTTTTTTTTTCTGTTTACATATACAGATATGTGCTGATTAGAAAGCTCACTTGGAAGTGTGGAGCATAAGACAGTGCCTTACAAAAATGGGGTTTGGGAGTGACCTGAAGAATTCACATGAAGCTGTATTAAAATTGCAAGACTGGGAATTACGGTTACTGGAAACAGTGAAGAAATTTATGGCTCTAAGAATAAAAAGTGATAAAGAATATGCATCTACTTTACAGAACCTTTGTAATCAAGTTGATAAGGAAAGTACTATACAAATGAATTATGTCAGCAAGGTATCCAAGGTAAGAAAAATTTTATTATATGCATAGCATCATCATTGTGTTTAAACGACTATATCATACTGTTTTATAAATATGGCAAGGTCAGCATACTGAAATTTTACAAATATTCTAAGTTCTAAAATGTTCTAAAATCTGATGATCAGAATCTCATTTTGAGTCCCACTTTCTGATTTCTAAGTCAGCAGATATCAAATTTTTGAACTTTAAATTTTTTTGAAAAATAGGTTTCCAAATTCTTCTAATGATTAGTCAACATTGAGAGGCATTATTACAATTTTATTTTGCTTTGTTATTATAATCTGTCTTCTCTGAATTCGTCTCTGAATAATCAGTATACTGAATCACACAGACTATTTTGAATGTGTTTGTTCTGTACTATCATTTCATGTATAAAATTCTGGTATATTGATGTATTAGTCACATTTAAAATTCCATAAAATTGTAAGTATTATATACATATATGTTATGTATGCTGTATATTACATGCATAATAGATAATATGTCTATCTATAGCAATATATTTTTTAAATTCAAATATAAGTATATAATAAGAAATTTGAGAACATGGTCATAAAGATAAAGGTGAAAATGCATCTAGCAATTCTTTGATTTTTGATCTGTTTATTTTTAATATCTTATTTAAGTATGAGAGTTCACAATATTTATTTAAACGTCAAAAATCTGGGCTGAGACAGTGTCTCAGTGGTAGAGTGTATTATCTACCCTACATGTGTGATACATGGAGTTTAACAGTGTATGATGCAAAAATTAAAATATTCAGAAAACCATTAACACTTTCACCTTATAAAGCTAAAAGAAATGTATTTCTTTCACTTTTGGCTTTTAGGATTTGAGTAAGTTATAGAGAAAACTTTGTTTGTATGTATGTTTGATTTACTAAGAATTTTTTGAGACCCTCTTAATGGATCCCTTACTTGTTTAACTGCCTTTCCTGGGACACTCAGTTTCTCCAAGGAAGGATTTTCTAATCTCTAGTCTGAAGACAGGGTTTCCAGATAAAGTAAAAGTGTAGGACAAATTTTATTTGCATTCAGTATCTGGCACATAGTACACTAAGTTTTTTAGGGAAGTGATTGTTTATCTGAAATTCAGATTTAAATGGCTCCCATTTTGTTTGATGTTTTTAAAAAAATTTTTTATTTTATAAAGTAGTTCACAATATTTGATTACATTTAATATTCATACACCAATCCCACCACCATTACATCTTCCCACCATATATCCATCCTGCACCCCAATCCCTGTCGCAAAACAGAACTGAAATAATTTAATTTTGTATTGTTTGTTATAAAAAACTGCTGAAAATGCTACAACGAAGTATCCTTAGAGGAAAGAGTGTGAAGATTGTTGTATTTCACCAAGGGGCCACTAAGCCCCTTCCATAAGAGATGACTAACATGTTGTTAAAGGTTAAGCCTGTGTGCTTTTATTTGTAAAAAAAAATTTCCTTCTAAGATTGGTTGCCTCCTACTTTGAACCCCATCAACTGTGGTGCGGTACTCTTGGAGTATGGGTAGGGTATGTCCTGTGAAGTGTCACATGGCCTCGAATTTGGCTGTGGGGTCCAGGAATAGGTTCACTTGTGGTTGAAGCTCGGCCCAAGGGTGAGAAGAGCAGTTATGAGCATGGCGGCGGTTGAGTTCTGGAGGTTTTCTGCTGCCAGTGCTGGGTCCCGTGGGGCGGGGAGGGGTCTTACCCATCCCTCTCTGGGGTGTCCTGAGTGAAACAGCCTGGCGGGGGGGGGGGGGGTCTGTTCGCATGGTTATGGCAAGTGTCATGTTATGCTCTTTCCAGGAGAGAAGGATATGCGATCTGGATGGTGGCCAATGACAAGATTATCATGATTCTTTGTTTTTTTTTTTTTTTTTTCTAATTTTATTCTTCATTGAGGCAAGACTAGTTGCAGGCTTATTTGGGTGGAGCAATCTGAAGTAAAGATCTGCCTGCTCCTTTCATAAATGAATTAATCCTCATATTTCTGAGCTTTCATTTTCTTCCTTTTCTTGTTTCTAGTTCCATAAAGTGGTCCTTACTTTTTCACTCCTTCGTAGGCCACTTAAGTTTCAACATAGTTACCTGCTTTATGTTTACTAACATTCTGTTGAATATTTTGTAAGGATATTCCCTTTTCTCTTTGTTATTGTAAATTTGTACTTAAATATTTGTACCATATATAACCGGGGTTTGGGAAAAGAGGGGAGATATGGTCTTATGTTTTATTTATTATATTTAATGTAAATTCTACTACATAGAAAAGGCAATGGAAAGGAAGTAGAAAAGAATTAGTAGATAAGACGACTATTTATGAGGTTAAGCCAGCAGATGATGGATCTAAATGCTGGTGAATGTTTTGGTGAGTTATAAATGGAGATCAATGCTGAAATAGGGAGGTTTGGATGGGAAGGGAAGCTAGGGGCTGCTCATGAAGGTGGGGGGGGTGGCGGCTGAAGTGTATAGTGTGAGTTTTCACAAGGGAAATACTGAATGGCCATAGTTAAAAATTATTTGGAAACTCAACGGGAAACACTGGAATCTGTTGACTTAAAAATAATATAAAAGCACCATTGTACATGGGAAAAGAAGAACTTTAATTTTCAGAGGTAAGACTGATGACTGCTCTGAGAAAGCACAGCTAACTCTAGAGGTTCTGGTTAGCTACTTTCTTCTAAGTAAAAACACTGCCTACCCCACAGGTCAGGTTTGGTATATAGTGTCACTGTGGACTGTTCTCAGTGAAGGAAAAATTTAATCATGAAGGAACATTAAATAACAAAGCATTTGTTTTGTTGACAGGCATACAATGATTTTTTTTTTTTAAACATTTAGGTAGAATTATCTCAATAGTCTGGCAAACTCCCTGTGGCGTACCCAATATGCCAAATACCAGTAACAATGATGGGTCTCATTCTCCTAGCGTGAAAGAGCCTTGAATATGGCATTTTAAAATCTCAGGGCTAAGACGAAGGGAAGGAGACGTTACTGGTGCCTGCTTGAGGCAATTGACGAACAACAGGATGATTGTGATCATCGTGATCTCAATAGTAGATACAGATTAGATATAAAAGAGTGAGGCATTAAAAGTAAGATTATTTTGCTTAGGTGACTGTGTAGCTTTATTATTACTATTATTATTATATAATTTTTATTTACTTGAAAGTCTGTTATTAAAGGCTGCTTCATAGTTGTTTCACCTGCTGTCACAGCAGATGGCAGGGATATAAAAGGACAGGAAACTGTAGAACACCTCACAATCAACAATGTACATACATATATATGTATATATTAAATATATAAATTTAAAAATATATATTTAATTTTGGGCGTTGTAGTAGGCTTTCTATTTTTTTGGGGGGGGCGGGTTTTGGGTCATACCCGGCGATGCACAGGGGCCACTCCTGGCTCATGCACTCAGGAATTACTCCTGGGAGTTCTCAGGGGCCCATATGGGATGCTGGGAATCGAATCCGGGTTAGCTGTGTGCAAGGCAAATGCCCTACCTGTTGTGCTATTGCTCCAGCCCCTGTGGTAGGCTTTTGTGTATAAAGCATTCCAGCACTACACCCTCCACCCGAGTGTCTGGAGGAAGACACTGTCTAGTGGCTGCTGCTCCCCACACCCTCTCCAGGGCCCCCTCTCTCACCAGAAGCTTCCCGGTGAAGAACAGGGTCAGTTTCTGCTGCCTTTGGGCTTTTACTATTCCCCTACTGTTTCGTCATACCCTACATATGAGGGAGAGCACTCTGTGTCTGTCCTTCTCCTGACTTCATTCAGCATGGTACTTTCCAGATCCAAGCAGCAAACTGCATCATTTTATCTTTTCTTAAAACCGAGTAGTATTCCATTTTGTATATATGCCATATATACATATATATTAAATTCAATCATCTATTCTTGTACAGTTGGGTTGTTTCCAGATTTTGGCTATTGTGAATAATGCTTCAGTTAACATATAAGTGCAAGTATCTTTTCTGAATACAGTTTTTGGGCTCCTGGTGAAAGGCCAAGAAGTAGAATTGCTGAGTTGTATGAAAGCTCAATTCCTATTATTTTTGAGAAGTACCCATATTTTTTTCTAGAAAGGCTAGTCAGCATTTCCACCAGCAATGAATGAGGGTCCCCACATCCACAGTAACAATGCATCCTTTTGTGTTTTTGTAATGTGTACCCCCCCCCCCCCCCCACACACACACACTCACACTTTGGTTTCTGTGTCTTTAAGGAAGTTTTTGTTAATATCAGCTTCCCAGCTTTTAAAAATGAATCACCATGAATTGCACACCAACCCCATCTTATGCATGATTGAATTTCCAACACCAACCCCATCACCAGTATCCACTTCAGTCCACAATGTTCCCAGTTTTCCTGACCCCCCAGGCAGACACATTTTCCCCCTTGTTTTTAAGTTGAATCACAGTGATAAACACATTTACAAAGTTGTTCATGATGGAATTTCAGTCATATAATATTCCAACATCGTTTCTTCACATGGGAGACACTTAACAATTTTTTCCCTTCCCTCCCTGTCACTGTCCACCTCTTTTTTTTGCGCTGTGGTTTCCATATTGTTAATGAAGGGTATCATGCATGTAACTTCACTTTACCTCCATTCAGTACCCAGTGCTTGTCCAGAGTGACGATTTCCTCCTATTATTGTCATAGAGGTCTATTCCCTGTTGTCCCCATTTTTGATGTTTTTTTTCTTACTTTTGGATTAAGTTCTAGCAGTATTTTATGTATTTTGGATGTCAACCCTTTGTCAGATGAGTAGTGGGCAAATATTTTCTCCTAGTCAATGGAGTATATATTTTTTCTAGCCATCATCTCTTTCATGTTGTGGAAGCTTCTTAGTTTGATGTAGTCCCATTTGCTTATATTTGTCATAGTTTCTGTTTGCATGGCCAGTGGCACTGAATCATTGAAGATACCTCAAGATTCAATGTTACAAAGGTGTTCTGTCCATGTTTTTCTCAAAATAATTT